AATTGAAAGAGCTTAGAGAGTTACCAATTAACCCAATTGAGAAGAATAGTCGAGAGGCGTTCTTCGTAAGATCATTCATTCACTGTATTTGTGAATATATTCATAGGACCTGTTATTAGGTTGGTTAATAGAGCTCTCATTCATTCGGAAGAAGAATTTGAATCCCTAAGGTAGCCTAATCATCTCTTGAAATCGAAAGAGTCAATAGAAGATAAGAGTGACCTTAACACAGAGTTATCCGGAATAATAGTTGATCAAATATCTTGTCACATCCCTTACTTCTCACCTTGATATTCAATTGTTGCTACTTAGTCATTAAATTTCCATTAGTTTCTTACAATCGATAATCTTAGTTTTATTAGTAGTCGATAATAACAGAAATCAAAGGTTTATTACCTTAGATAGTGTTGGCCTGAAGATTTATTAGAACATTATTTAAACCAATCCCTGTGGAGACGATTTAATACTATACTATCTTTGACTAGCGAGCCTAAGTTTTATACACTGGTTTTACGTTCGTCAAATATTGGCGCCGTTGTCGGGGATTGGCGATTAATAGTGTTTGAATTAATTTTAGGTGCTAATTTAGGAACAATTTTATTTTATTTTCCTTTTTTACGCTTTTCTTATCTGTGTGCAGGCAACATGCTAAGTTCAGCGGTGTATGACTCGATCCTCTTCCAAGGAATTGGTGCCATACGATCCAGAATTAGACAAGCACCTGCGGCAATTGAGAAGGGACAAAGGATCGAGCAGATTGTTTTTGGGTCATTCTTCGACTCAAAATACAATGGTGAAAAACGAAGAGGATGTTAACCTATCTGCGAGAGAGGCAGCTCAACAACAGGAAGCACGGTTAGCAGCTGAAGCAGCCCGCAAAATTGCGGTACGATCGACGAGAGCGAAGGTTCAATCCCAACTGAAACATGATCGAAGATGAATTTGAAATTGCAGCTCCTAGGCCTGGGAGGTCGCTAGGAGATTATGCCAGACCAGTGTACAACCAACAACAGTCTAGTGTGAGGCCCCCACCCATTGATGCCAATAATTTTTAACTCAAACAGAGAGTCATCCAGACCATTCAGAACAATTGCATTTTTAGGGGCCAATGAAGATCCCAACAACCATCTGATGGACTTTGACGAAATTATGAACACATTCCGTTACAATGGAGCATCACATGATGCCATCTACCTCAGAGCATTCCCGTTCTCACTCAAGGATGATACAAAGTAGTGGATGAGAAGTCTGCCCACATGTTCAATATGTACGTGGGAGGAGATGACTACCAAGTTCTTAGAAAAATATTTCTTGGCTGCTAAGACTGGGAGGATGAGGAAGGAGATTCACAATTTCAGCCAAGGTGAAGGGGAGACATTGTTTGAGGCATGGGAAAGATTTAAGGAGCTATTGCGGAGGTGCCCTCACAACGGAATGGAGCAATGGATGCAATTCCAGGACTTTTGGGACGGATTAAACCTGTCATCAAGGAGATTGCTTAATAATGCACTTGCAGGTCCTCTAATGAAGAAAACTCCAGAACAGATCGTCACACTTCTGAATGAACCATCTGAGACGCAGAACAATGGTCCACAGACCAAGGGGATCGAATAAGATCATCAGGGGTGCACCAAGTAGAATCGTCAGTAGCAATGCATGCCAAAATTGTAGCTATGGCTAAGGACATCAAGCAACTGATGATGGCTCAGGTGCAAAATCAACCGCAGGTGGGATGCGACATCTGTGGATTGGGACACCCGACTCATAAGTGCCAACACATTCACCGCAGAAGAAGAAATTAAGGCATTGGGTAATTTCAAAAGAGGCAACTATCAAGGAGCTGGTAATTTCAATTCCATGGGACATAGACATCCATGGTTCTCATGGAGTTCTTCAACTAGTAGTTTGAACTCATGGTAGCAGCAAAATCCCGGGGCACCAGTGCAAGGACCTCCTGGTTTCCAAACTCAATAGAGGCAACCATACCAACCTCCACAACCCAACAACTCTTCAAGTTTAGAAGATCTAATGAAGGCATTTATAAGTAAATCCGATGGAAAACTTGAGACTCAAGGGAACGCTATCCAGGAGCAAGGCATATCCATACGGAATCTAGAAAGACAAATGGGGTAGCTTGCATCATTGTTGTCAAAAAGGACACCGGGGACTTTGTCGGTAGACACTGAAAAGTATCCAAAAGAGACGATCAAGGCCATGTCTCTCAGGAGTGGGAAAACATTTAGCCAAGCCCAATGCAAATCCAAGGGATGAGAAGGAGATCAACTCAACCAAGATAGCAGAAGAACAGAATTTGTGAATTTCTGCACAAGAAGGTTGTTAAGTAGAAGGTGAGCAGCGCAGTTGAGGAAAGAAAGATCATGCCATTGTTACCTTTTCCTCAATAGATGAAGCGGGAGAAATTAGACAAATACTTTGGGAAGTTCTTGGAGATGATGAAACAGTTGTATGTGAACATTTCGTTCACGGAGGTGCTCACACAGATGCCAGCCTATGCAAAATTCCTGAAGGAAATCCTTTCAAGAAAAAGGAAGCTCGAGGAAATGAAAGTGGTCAAACTCAATGCCCACTGTCATGCTATTCTACAAAATAAAATTCCTAAGAAGTGTGGGGATCCTGGTAGTTTCACTATATCCTGCTCGTTGGGTAGTGAAAATTTTGACAAAGCCTTGTGCGATTCAGGTGCATCCATTAACTTTGTGCCATTATCGGTGTTCATAAAATTGGAAGGAGAGCTAGGAGTGATCATATATGTGCCGGTATCCTTGCAACTAGCTGATCAGACCACGATCATACCAGAGGGCATAATTGAGGACATTCTGGTGAGGGTTGACAAATTTGTTTTCCTAGTAGACTTCATCGTGGTAGATATGGAAGTGAATAAGGAAGTACCTCTAATTCTGGGGAGACCATTCCTTTGCACTGGCCGGGCTATTCTTGATATATATGAGGGGAAACTCATGCTATGAGTGAGAACCGAAAAAATGGTATTTCAAATGAATAGAATGATGAAATACCCATATGATGAGGCATCTACCTATGCATGTCTCAAATTAGATATGGTGGGAGAGTTAGCTGAACAACACAAGCTGGATAAGCCGGTAGGTGATTCACTAGAGAGATGCAGTAGTCAATCAAGCACAACAGAGGATGGAGATCCTGATATCAAGAACAAAGTTGAGGCATTGGAAGATGAGAACCAGGTGGTACACGAAGAAGAATTCGAGAAAGAAAAGAGAAAGCTGAAGCTGGAATTGAAAGTACTGCCGACACATTTGAAATATGTTTTTTTGGAGACTAACAATTTTCCCGTGATTATTGCTACTGATTTGACAGGTGAACAGGAACACATGCTTGTAGAGTTACTACAGAAGCATAAAAAGGCAATCGGTTGGAGTATAGCTGATATTTAGGGGATCAACCCCACAATCTGCATGCACAAGATCCTGTTAGAAGAAGGGAGTAAACCGGTGGTGCAACTCCAACGCAAATTGAACAAAAATCTTGAGGAGGTGGTGCAAAAAGAGATACTCAAATTGCTGTATGCAGGTATAATATTTTCCATCTTTGACAGTCAATGGATTAGCCCCGTACAAGTTGTTCCCAAAAAAGGGAAGATGATGGTGGTAAAAAACGAGGACAACGAGCTAACTCCTACCAGAACAGTTACTGGGTGGAGGATGTGTATAGATTACTGGAGACTAAATGATTCAACAAGGAAGGATCACTTCCCTCTTCCTTTTGTTGATCAGATGTTTGAGAAGGTGGGTTGGGCGTGGATGTTACTACTTATTAGATGGATATTTAGGGTACAATCAAATATCCATTGCTCCCGAAGATGATGAGAAAACCACCTTTACATGCCCGTCCAAAATCTTTGTATACCGGAGAATGCCTTTCGGACTATGCAACGCACCAGCTACTTTCTAGAGATGCATGATGTCAATATTTTCAAATTTGAATGGGAAGTGTCTAGAGGTGTTCATGGATGACTTTACTCTATTTGGAGATGACTTTCAAGATTGCTTGAGGAACCTCGAACTTGTTCTGAAACGATGTGAGGACACTCATCTAGTACTCTACTAGGAAAAATGTCACTTCATGGTTAAGGAGGGGATAGTCCTGGGCCATAAAGTCACAGCTGAAGGTATTGAGGTCGACGGAGCTAAAGTATATGTGATAGCCAAGCTCCCACCACCGACTTTAGTGAAGAGCATCAAAAGTCTTTTGGGGCATCCCGGTTTCTATAGAAGATTCATCAAAAAAATTTTCCAGCATTACCAAGCCCTTAACTGCATTACTTGCCAAGGATGTGAAATTTGAATTCAATGTGGAGTGTCTCAGAGAATTCGAACTGATCAAGGTAAAGCTAGTGAGTGCCCCCATAATGGTGACTCCTAACTAGAGTGATCCTTTTGAGATAATGTGGGATGCCAGTGATGCGGCAGTAGGAGCAGTGCTGGGGTAGAGGAGAGATAAACTGTTCTGACCCATTTACGATGCAAACCGGACCTTGAATGATGCTCAGGTGAATTATGCTACCACGAAGAAGGAGTTCTTTGCAGTAGTCTTTGCTTTTGACATGTTCAAATACTATTTAGTGGGAAGCAAGGTAATAGTGCATACTGATCTCTTAGCACTAAAATATTTGCTAAGTAAGAGAGAGTCCAAACCGCTTTTGATGCGGTGGGTATTGTTGCTGCAGAAAGGGCACAGAAATCTAGAAATCAAAGACAGAAAGGGCACAGAAAATCAAACGGCTAACCACCTGTCGAGATTGGAGAAACCACCTGTTGAAGTGGTGGACATTCAGGAATAGTTCCTAGATGAGCAAATTTTTTCTCTGATAGACTGCCATGGTTCACCGACATAGTTAACTTTTTGGCTAGTGGGTGGCTACCACACGACTTGACCTCTGATCAGAAAAAGAAGTTGCAAAGTGAGGTAAAATGTTATTTTGGAATGACCCTTTCTTGTTTAAAATGTGTGCAGATGGTGTGATTCGAAGAGGTGTTCCTGATGGAGAAATGGCAAGTATTTTGTCTCATTGCCATGATGGGGCAGCTGGAGGACACTATGGTGGAAATCGCACTGCAGAAAAGGTCATGGAAGCCGGTTTCTATTGCCCTACTTTGTACAAAGACGCACGTGCGTATGTAGCTGTATGTGACAAGTGCCAAAGGGCAAGTGATATTAGCAAGAGGGACGAAATGCCTCATAACTCCATTCCGGTATGTGAAAATTTTTGACGTTTGGGGCATTGACTTCATGGGTCCATTTCACATTCTTATGAGTATATCCTAGTAGCCGTTGACTTCGTCTCTAAGTGGGTCAAGGCAATCCCTACTTGGACCAGTGATGCTCGGGTGGTGTGTGAGTTCTTACGGAAGAACATCTTTAAAGGCTTTGGGACATCTCGAGTGATTATCAGTGACAATGGGTCACACTTTGTGAACAAGCGGTTTGCTGCACTGCTGTCCAAGTATGGGGTCAAACACAAAACAGGAACCCCATATCATGCCCAAACTAGTGGGCAAGTTGAAGTGGCTAACCGTGAACTTAAACAAATTCTTGAAAAGATGGTTAGTGCTTCTCGTAAGGAGTGGTCTGAAATGTTGGAGGAAGCTCTATGGACGTGCAAAACTGCATTCAAAACAACCATAGGGACTTCACTATTCAAACTGTGTATGGAAAATTGTGTCACCTACATGTTGAGATAGAACATAAAGCTTATTGGGAAATTAAGATGCTTAATCTTGATCTTAGTCTTGCAGGTGAACACAGGTTGGCGCAGATGAATGCATTGGAGCAGTTTAGACTGGACGCATATGAAAATGTGCGGATTTTCAAGGAAAAGACTAAAAGGTGGAATGATCGTCTGATTAAGCCAAAGGAGTTTCATGAAGGGGATAGAGTCTTACTGTACAATAGTAGACTCAGATTGTTCCCTAGAAAATTTAAGTCTAGATGGACGGGACCGTATGTGGTGAAACATGTATCACCATATGGGGCAATTAAGATTCAGAACATGGACGAAACGGAAAGTTTCAAAGTGCATTGGCACAGGCTAAAACCGTATCTTGCTGGAGGATTTGCTCAGCAATCCTCGAGCATCAAAATCAGTTAAGGATGCCCGGTTGAGTCAAGTTGACGACTATAACTCAGAACTACCTCTAACTCTTCTACTAGCTAGATTTTTCACTTTTGTTTAGGGCGTAGAATAGATAGAAACTAGTGTATATTATGACTTGGTAGGTCCAGGAAGTTACATGTTGTGGACGCTCGGAACTGAGGTGTCTAATAGGCCCTTTTTGAATGTATCCGTGTGCGGCCGCACACCTGGTAGAGCACCTCGCGCATATGGTCGTGCAAAAGCCAATGTATGGCGATGCGGTAGGTGCGTGGCAACGCACCTGAAGGGTTGACCGAGCACTTGAACGCGCAAATTCACCAGTATACTGCTTAATGTGCATGGCCGCGCACGGGGTGACCCGACCGCACACTCGACCGTGCACAGGTAAGTAGTTCCCTTTTACTTTCGGTTAATTTTGGAGCCCCCTCAACCCCTCTTCTAATTTTACCCTTTTCCCCTCTCCTCTTAAGCAAAAACCTAACTCGCCCACCCACTCTCTCCTATCCTCTCTGCAACAATGAAGCAAACCCAATCCCCTACTCTTCTCCCTTCCCCCTACCTCAAGAGCATTCTTTCCCAGAGACTCCTTAGGTATGTGAGATGTTTTTTCCCTTGTTTGCTATTTTTATTGTTTGTTTGTTTGTAGCAATTTTTTATTTCTTTATTTTTTGTTTGTTCTCCTTTTCATGTAGGGTGGAGGTTGAGTGCACCATGAAGACTGACCATATCATTGCTAGGAGTGTAATTGGTGTATCTTTTTTTAGCTAGGGCTAAAATTGCTTTATGGGAGGTGAGGACCTGTTGTGCATGTTAAGTGTTTGTGTAAATGCCACAATGAGATTGAGGGTGTAATTTTGTGACAAAGTGTAAAGATGAAGTTTGAGTACACTCTTTTGGTTCGCCACGTGATTCATTAGCTGATAGTTGACGGCTTGTTACAGGTACTATAGCGCCCTCCAAGAAAAGAAAAACTGCAAGTGCTTCCACGAGTGGTCAAGCGGGCACGTCCCGATTTCGAGCTTCTGCTTCCGCTCGCCCATATGATCAAAACAAGTTCGTCTCCTAGGAAGCCCAATAGTGATTTAATAGCATAGCAAGCAAAAAGCCCATATCGAAAAAAGGAATTGATATTGGGTCTCTCCAAACTAACTGTCCAGAGTGTGGTGTTCTATGTGAACTGGCCAGAACATGAGGACCATGTCTGTACCATTCGGAAGAAGAGAGTGGATTTCTCCAAAGAGGTCATCTAAAGGGTCTATCACTTGCCAGAATATATGGAAGACCCTGATACAGGTGACTATTATGTCACGCACAACGGGAAACCATACCTATAGCGCATGTTTGCAACCATTTGTGTACCTCGCAAGGAGGTAGTGTGGCTGAAGGAGGGGCACATAATTCACTAGGCTTCGCTTACTTTTGAAGGGAAATGCTGGCTCTACATAATTAATAACCGCCTTATGCCTTCAGGCAACACTACTGAGGTGAATGGTCCCCGAGCTATTTTGCTTTGTCAATGACCACGATTTTGACGTTGCTAAAGTCATTCAGGATGAGATGACAATTAGGTGTCATGTGCATAGCTATGAGTTCTTTTTCCCGTCACTAGTCACTCGGTTATACCGTGAGGCACGGGTGCAGGAAAATAGGGCCACTGATGGGAAAGTTAAGCGCGAACAGAAATTTAAGGCTGATAAAGTTGTAATTGGGAAGGAACCTGTTGGGGCTGCTGAGGCGAATAGTGAGGAGTCTGATGTGGCCGCCGAAGTAAATGAGGTGCATAGTGAGGATGTTGCTGCTTCCCCACTGCATAAGCACGGGGTTGGAGAGACTTCCAATAGTGGATGGGAAACGAGAATGGACACTTTAGAACATGAGATGTCGGGGATGCATACTTTAATCACTGATTTGGGAGCTCGGGTGGACTCCCTTGCTATATATAATTCCAAGTCAGAGAAGAAGATCATGGCATTGCTGTGTGCATTTGGCCCCGCTTGTCATCTAGAACTTGGCACTGTCTCCGACACGAACTGATTTGATCAGGGGAGTTTTAGTCACCTTTGCATTTCCATTGTGTGTCATGGAGATATGGAACATCTTCAAGTATGGGGCGGGGCATATTTGTTTGTTATATGTATATTCGTTTTAGTTTTACTTTTGTTAGTTTGTGTAATTAGAGAAAGAAGAAAACAAATTTGAAAAAAACATAAATTTTTTTAACTATTTGATTTTTTCTGACGATGGATATCAGTCGATAGCTTGAGGGATTTAAGTCAAAGGAAAAAAATACAAAAAGATTTTCTTTTGTAGGTAGTGTAATAATTCCCCCTTGGTTTTTCTTTGTGCCGCGTTCTTTTCCAAGGGTTTTGTTTTGAACCGGGTGTAGGTAGTTTTATTTTTTGTTAGGAGTAGAGAACCTTGAGCTATGATTTGAAGGGAAGGCAATATCTCTTGACTGTATTATACCTTGAGAATAGTGAGTGCTTTAGTTGTGATGCTTAGGCTCAATTTTTGACTTATGCATAAGTACCTTAAAGTGTACGATCTTAATGTTGCTTAACTGCTCTGACTAGAGTGTCGTGATTCCAATCTTGAGTGAGTTACGTGGCATGTATGTGTGAGGTTTATGTTATTATGTGCATTGCATTTGATGTCTAGAACTTGCCCCGTGTGTTTGCAAAGCGAAATAGTAGTTTTATTCAGTCTTGGAAGTGATATAGACATTTCTTTCTTGAGCCAGTTATATGCTTTTACCCACCTATTTGTTATCGATCTTAGTTAGCCCCTTTCAGCCTGTAATCCTGTTTCTTTGGCAACCACATTACAAGCCTTACCCATTTGTTTTGAATTGACCATCTATTTGAACTAGTTACCTCCCGTGAGCGCTTGAATTGGTTATGAACTTTGTAAAAGTTGAGGTGTGGGTTTGGTTGGTTTGGCTTTTGAGTGAAACTAATGAAATAAGGAGAAAGGTACACTATTTTGAAAAAGTACGAGCCACATTAATTTAAAAAAATTATAGTTGTATTATGGTGCAAAATAATCTGTGATAGTAGTGACTCTTGAAATAATTGTGCTTAAAGAAGTATGGAGTTAATGTAAATTGTCGTGAAGGTGGAGTTATGATTTGACATAAGTGTGAGGTTTTGAACTGTTAATTGTATGCATTAAAGTGCTTAGGGAGGTGTAGTCACTCTTATATCCAAATGTATCCTACCCATCCTACAGCCTAAATTACAACCAAATAAAGTCCTACGTGATCTTTAACTGAATGAGCTCAACTAGTAGAGTAGTACACTACGGGCAAGCCTATGGTACGTCTTTTGTGGCATATAAATGTTGTTTCAGAGAATGAGTGAATTCTTTCTATCTTGAGTTCCTAATTGTTTTTGATTCTATCATGTGTGAAACAATTCTTTATTGTTGTGTGAGGGCACTTAATTCATGAAGGAAAGGTAATGTCATTGACCTCTAGGTTAGATTAAGTGAGTGGGTTATAAATAATGTGTGGTGCTTTTGAGTCAAATCTTGAGGTTAAGATGTTACAATATTGTACTTAATCTATTTTAAAGAGTCTAGGTGTGCTGAGTCATGAGAGTTGTTGATAAAGGTCGTATTTTATGTGAAGTATAGTTTGATTGCTCGAGGACGAGCAATGGCTTAAGTTTGGGGTGTTGATGGTAGGCTATAATTGTGTATTTTGTCCATTAATTGCACTCTAATTTGCTGCACTTTACTAGTTTTAAATGGTATTATTTTGCACTGAGTGTGTGTTTTATGCCTTGTAGGAGCAATTCCGAATTATGATGAGGCTGTGGAGCTATTTCGAGCTATTTTGAAGCTTTGAAGTCTGAGTAAAAGCCCAAGGATTAAGTTGGGATCGTGTTCGGGGATCGACGGAAAAATAGTGCACTCAATGAGAGAAATGAAGAGTTGAACATGAGGCTCACCCAGGTGCACGACCGCGCATGAGACCCCCTCCAACACGCACTGAGCGCGCAAGTGAAGCAGTGCACTACCAGAGGTGCACGATCACACCTCTAGGTGCACGGCCGCGCACGTCCGATTCCGTTCCTAGGCCTATTTTTGTAATTTTGGAGACAATTCCTTTTGCCTTATATGAAGCCTAACTCGTCTAAAAACAAGGTATCTCGGATTTTGGGAGCAACTTTTGGAGAGAAGAAGGCAAGGGAACTATGGAGACGCGAAATACTTGATCCAATTCATTCAATACAGAAGTTTGTTGGATTTTGGGAATTGTATTGCCTTCTTATTCTTCTAACACTCTTGTGATGAATAACTTATCCATTATGGAGTAATCTTTCTTAGGGTTATTGACGGATGTTGTGATTTGACTATCTTTATGGGTTATTACTCTCTGTTAATTGCCCAAATTCAATGAATGAGGTATTAATTGAATTGCAAGGCTAATTATGGACTTTAATTGAAAAAGAAGTGTTGTTGCAATTTGCGTTGTGCCATATTGTTTGGGCTGCTTTTAGGGCTATCATAGGTAATCGAAAGAGCTTAGAGAGTTATCAATTAACCAGTTGAGAAGAATAGTCGAGAGGCGTTCTTCGAAAGATCATTCATTCACTGTATATGTGCATATGTTAATAGGTACTGTTATTAGGTTGTATAATGGATCTCTAATTCATTCGGAAGAAGAATTTGAATTCCTAAGGTAGCCTAATCATCTGTTGAAATCGAAAGAGTCAATAGAAGATAAGAGTGAACTTAACATAGAGTTACCCAGAATAATAGTTGATCACATATCTTGTCACAACCCTTACTTCTCACCTTAATATTCAACCGTTGCTATGTAGTCATTACATTTTCATTAGCTTCTTACAATTGATAATCTTTGTTTTATTAGTAGTCGATAATAACATAAATCAAATGTTTATTATCCTGGATAGTGTTGAGCTAAAGATTTATTAGAACATTATTTAAACCAATCCCTGTGGAGACGATTTAATACTATACTATCTTAG